CAGTGGCTTTTCAATGTCTTTTATACTTCTAAATGCTTTATGTTTTATAACATTGCATAAAACATAAAGGAAACATTATGAAGTATTTTTCAATTATAATAACAAGTAAGGCACTTTTCCACATTTTCTTGACCTTCAAAAATGACTACAAATAGGAAAGAAGACAAAATCACTGCCTGAGTGTCACTGAGATAACAAAGTGCACTTTGTATTTAGATAGCCATTTGGACAAATATCTCTGTCCATTTTCATTCACTGTTGATTGTAATGTTGAAAGAGAAGCTCAATTGCTGTAAAATTATACTCCTAAGTGTTTTTCAACAATTGTTTTTAAATCTCAATTTTTCCTCCTCTATTACCTTAAATTAGAACCTGCAGTTAGTGAGTCTTTCTTCACAAATTTACAACAGATTTAGAAAATAATGGATCATTGTAGTAGATGAGAATATTTTTTAAAAGTAACCCTCTACTGACTATAACTTTAAAAGTTATTTTCAGCTCTTTGATTTATAGGACATTTTCTGAGTAGGTTTGTAGAAGTGGAATTCATGTGCTGGAGGATGTATATAGATCAAGCAAGACAGATGGCATTGATCTCTTTTAAAGAGTGTAGCCATGATTTGTGTATAAGCAGACGTGTTTTTTATACATGTATGTAAAACTATATAGCTAAAAAATTCAGGAATAAAAGAAAAGACAGCTAGCTAATTCAGCCTTTTTCAGTTAATCAGCCTTGGAAAGATTTTTTTTTTAATATATTACAGTCAAGTTTACTAATTATAAAATAATAAACTACAATGGAGTTGAATTACATTAACAATATAGAATTCTCTTTTTTTCTTGTATTAAATTCTTTTATTGGTACATTGTAGGTATACAACACAATTACATTTCTCATTGGGAATTGTACCCTTACATAATGCATCTTGGTTCTTATTTTTTCCCCATTCCTAGCCCTCCCTTCATGCCCTCCACCCTTCCCTATTTACAAAGACTTTATTTCCATTTTTTCCATTTCTCATCATTTTTCCTTTCCCTTCTTTCCTTTCCCCTGCCCCTCCCACTACCCCTACCCCTTTGGACCTTTTCTTGGAAAGATTTTATACATTAAGAGTCAAGAAGAGTATGGTTATAGGGGCCTGGGATTTAGCTCAGTGGTTTCAACGCCTGCTGCGCAAGCGCAAGGGCCCAAATTCAATACCCGGTACCAAAAAAAAAGAAAGAAAGAAAAGAAAAGTATGATAATGAAAGGAAGGTAGTAGTAGGTAGGCTAGTAAAAAAAAAAAAAAAAAAAAAAGCTTTAGGCAGGCTGGAAGCCCTGCCTAAATACTCAACAAAAACTAAATGTGAGCATAGGAAAATATTTTTTAAATATCAAGAAAAAAAAAAGAGGGGAACCATATAATTAAAAATAGAGTGCTGAAGTCATTTAGCAGGATTTCTCTTAAAATATTAACCAAACCTCTCTGTGAATTCATCCTCATTTTAACCCATTTTATACTTATTTCCACCTGACAGAGCACACAACATATCCTCCTCAGATATCCTATTGAATAGTTGGGTCCAACTACTGTGCCTGAGTTAATAAGTCTTTATCTCTGTACATACATTCTTCATTGAATGTACTTGTAACTTTATGCTTTGAGTTACTGTAATCTGAATTGTACCTAGGCTACTCAAGAAGTTGTCCACTTTAATGTCTTAGGAATTGCATAATTGCCAAAACGCTGACATTTGTGTAATAATAGCAACTTTAAAATTTCATTGTTTAATGAAATGCTTTATTTCGTACTCGTATGTCTGCTCCTGCAAATCAGCAACAACTCTGCTTCTCATGTCTTCAACACAGTACTGAAAACTTACTTCCTATTTAAGTCAAGAAATTTTATGGCAGATAAGAAGAGGTAGATGATATAGGCAATGTTTCTTCATCGGTGCATATTACATTTATATATGTCATTAGTCAGAGCAAGTCACAGGCACTGTAGGGTGGGGATGCATAATTTTCCCTTGGAAGCAGCTCACTTCAGGTTGGCAATGGGCAATGATGGTGACACATAAACTTGCTCAAAGGAGGGGATAATTGTGAAAAACAATACACAGGCACAAGAAATACAATAGGAAAATCACAGAATAATTTAGAAAAATACATCAATAACACTGGATATTATTGTGGGTACTACAAAGGAATCTAACGAGGACATTTTTCCACCCACTGTTGAAACACAATATTATGAATTTATAGGATGGAACAAGGAGGAAAATTTTGCAAAGAACAAACAATGGAATGAAAAGTAGAACTTTTGACAAAGCCAAAATTAGACAAGGTATCACTGTATATGAACAGCTGTTGGGTGAGTATTTGGTCTTCAGTATACTTAGCAGGAGGTGGGGGAATAACAAAAGAGGACAAGGGCAAAAGCCAAGTTAGTAAGGATAAAAGTCAGTAAAAATCCAGTGAGAAAGTGGAGAATATGAATTTGGGATAAATACATATAGCAAGAGTCAAATTTTGTAATTGAACAAATATAAAATAATGTGGGAACAGTACTGCTTTGATTATTACTATTTGCAGTCTCAAAAGTGTCACTAAAAATTTTCAAGGGATTTATGAGAGTTATAGTAAGGGAAAAACATCCTCAGAATCTCAATATTTAAAAGGGACCAGTAAACAGGACAAGAACCAGTAATACTTGAATAGAGAGAGGGCTTTCCCCAGCTGCAGTCAAGGAGAGATGTGAGAGCCAAGCACAGCTGTCTTGACAGAGTCACGCTGCCTTACCCAGTGGAGGACTGAACCAAAGGAAGATCCTGTGAACATTGTACTTTTGAAGAAAGGTGGTTCTAGGAATTTTGAGTACAAAAGTTTGTGGCTGTGAAGGGAGAATGTGGTTACTGAGCTGTGCAAGCAAAGAATATCAAATTAGAATCTGTGACTGAGTTCGTTAGAGGAGAGTGAGAGGAGGGCTTGTTTTGAGGAAGATCAGTCTAACACAGACAAAACAGGGCTCTATCTGCACGAGTGTTTTGAATGGCACAGCATAGAACATTCGGTACTTCTTACTGATTCTGAAATGTGGAAAAATATAGAACTAAATATTCCAGTTTGAGCACAGACCATAATGAACTTGAAGTTTCAAACTCTGTTATATGGATGCATATTCATACTCAAATAATTGCTCCATCAAAAGAAATGTAATCATAAATACATTAATACAGATTATAGTATGTGAACAGGGCATGTGATAAATGCATCAAAGAATATTGTAGAGTAAAAATTATGCTATCAAAGTCAATGACAAAAGATTAGCATACAATGCCAGCTAGATATTTTCTTTTTAATATCATATAGTAATTAATATTTTAATATATAAGTACATATAGATAGTGTATGTAATATAATCCTAAAAGAATAAAATGCTTATATACTCCTTCCTATAAAATTGGAACTTTTAAACCTTTATATTTATCAATTAATATGTAATATCCTATATTCGTAAGAAAATATGGACCACAAAAATATTTGCTTACGTAAATCTTTTGGGAAACGAACAGTTGATAGATAAATCAATAATTAAAGTAAACAGCCACTGTTATCTACACTTATTTATTTTATACAATAAGTGGATAAGAGATGCATATAGATCCAAATAAATAAATATATTGATCCAGATATATACAGACATATCCATACTTAAACCTCTTTCTTTGCTCTGAAATTTTCCTCTGTGTTGAACTTAAATCCCCCACTGATTATGGTACATTTAAACTTACCGGGCCAAATGCGCCTAAAAATGCTTCTGAAAAGTTAGATCTCCTCTGCAGGCCTGGTCTTTATATGGCTCAATTATAGGTTGTTCATGATACAATACAAAGGGAGGGTCCAGTTACAGAGGATTTGCTATACCAAGAAGAGACATTTTAATTTTGGCTTGAAGGTAAGGTAATGAGAATCACTAAAAATTACTAGGGCTGGGATGTTTGGTAGAGAGGTAGGTGAGACAGTGAGATTAAGAGTAGAGAATCCATTTTTTTTCTTTCCTTTCTCATATTTTTTTCTTTCCATCCCCCACCCCCCTCCCTACTTCCCATTTGGACCTTTTCTTCCTATTTTACATTATCTATTATACATAGGGAGGGGTGGAGGGGTGAAAAAAAGGAAGGAGAATGGGAAAAAAACAAGAACCAAGATATATCATGTACAGGTACAAGTTCCCAATGATGAATGTCATCATAACGTATACCTAAAATGTACCAATAAACTTAATGGAAAAAAAAAAAAGAGTAGAAAACCCAAGGTGTAGCAATTCAAGAAAAAAATGAAATGAAACTCAGCACCCTCATAGAAATGAATTATGATAGAAGCAATAGAGCATGTGTGAGAGATGTTAAAGAAATACATTGGGCTCCACAGACTAGAAGACCCAAATGGGGACACTTGCAAGAACTTCTAGCCTTACAGAATATTTTAGTAACACAAACAGGGAATATAGTACAAAAAGCAAGTGTGACAGGAAACATATCTCACTGGCTTCACATAGATATTAATGTCTGTTGACATTTGAAAAGTAACTTTCTGAATTCAGTTCTTAAAGTTAAGAAGATGGAGATAATGTCCAAAATTAATTTAAAAAATAAAATAGGTGATTGATCTGACTTAAAATATAATCCAGTGTGTTACTTTACGATGTTTCATTTGGCACTGTTTCTGCAAGTACACACATAACAGAAGGCAGCTTACAGACTGGGAAAAGTCATTTTAGGGTAGCAGCTGAGTAAATCAGAGATCCTGCCCATGAAGATGTCATAAAATGACAGGATTACAATGATACAATGATATCATAGCATAGTAGTTCCTATCAGAGACATGGGGAGACTTCTCTTAGGCACAGAAAATATTCAGGAAGGAAGTACTGAGTCTGGGGTTAACACATTTGCCCTTTCAATAAACATGCCGCTGAAATGAACAGTAGAAAAAACATGAAGTATTTGTTACTTACCATTAACAATAACAATAATATCACGGAAGTCAATTTCACCCCTAGCTTCCACTCTTCCTTCACATCTGTATATCCCTTCATCGCTTTTATTGATGTTGAGGATCTGTAGATTATTGTTGGCTAACACAGAGAACCGATCTGGAGAGTAAGTAAAGGGCAGGAAATGGTATTAGTAATTGAAACCTGAGTCCAGTGTGCTCCAAATTGCTAAGAGTTAAAATATGGCATTTGTCTGACATTATCAAACTTTCCATCAACAAACAAATTCAAATTTGAAAGTAAAATGCAATTTCATGGCGTCAGCTTCTCCACTCTACATTGCCTTGTTATACCTTTTTTTCTAAAATACATTCAAGACTTTATATCCACATAAAACCGTTAGGCTGTTATTTTCCCTTTGGTGCTTTGAATGCAGAAATGACACACAAAAGAACAATGCAATGAGATTAGATATTGCAGACATGAAAGCTTTTGATGGTGAATATGTAACAACTTGGGAATGGAAAAGGATTAGAAAATTTATTCAATATTCTACCTCAACAATTAAACTGGTAGTTTTTCATACGCTGAAGAATCAATTAATGGTTAAACAGCATTCAAATCACATAAAGAATTTTAAAAGTTTATAGCTTATATTTATGTAAGGAATTGTTTTATGGCTAAAAGCAAGATAATCTTTAGAAATGAATAGGTTAGACTTGAATTTTATTTCAATTCTATTTGTGTGTATACATGTACACATGCCTACATACAAAATAATCAGATATACAGCTTGCATTTTAATTCATGGTGTAAAATAATATTCTATAGTAACCTAAGACACGTAAACAGCATATCAACATACCCCATTATTTTGTAAGTCTGGTAACCTTTGTGATTACTGCAATTTGTTGCAGTTCTAAAATCCTTTTTTTCTTCTTATGTCAAGAATGTTCTTACATTTCTCTTTTGAAACATTTTGAACAAGCAAGAGCTTAAATTTCATTAATTAATGCATCCATGAATATTACTAAATATCATTTTACCCTAGAGATTGTATTTAAAATACATTGTTTAGTAAGAGACACACAGTCTTTATCTACTTTGGGCCTTTTGGTAGGTAGAATTGGAATTAATTTAGGGTGCACAGAACCTAGGATATTTATAGTCTAGAGGTTACCTTTTGAACTTGTTCTAACACTCAGTGTTCTTCTACTATCTCCTGGCTTGATACAGATAGTAGGGAAATCATGAAAACCACTTATAAAATAGGTAGAAATCCCATTACCTGGATATCTGGATCCACAGAGTAGAATTCTGTGTGTATTGTTGCTGCTAAATGGACATGCATGATTGAGAAATAAACCACTATCGTAATAGGCCATTCAGACTGGGGAGACAATTTGTCATACCAGTTCCATAATGAGACTGGAGACATTTGGGACAGAAATAACACATTCAGGACACATCTGTCAATAGACCTCGATTGAAACAGACAAGCAAGTAGTCCCTTGTTGTGTAAGACATAACTAAAGGGAATGGGAATGTGTAGATTCAAAGGATACCTTAGGGAAAAAATTCTGACTATAAAGCTAGAGCCACATGGTTTATGATTTATGAAATTTTCCTATTTTTTCTTTAGGTCGACCCTAAGAATGGAGATAAAATGTTTATGCAGATTGCTTTCCCTAGAAAATAAAAATGCAAACATGAAATTTTCTTGCCAATCAAAGACCAAGAAGAAAGGTTATTTGTAAATGTTTTTAAGGTATAAATCACATAAAATCCTGAAATAACTATGAACTTCTGAAAATTCATGAAGTTTCAAAACCCCTAAAAATTATATCAAAATTTTTAGTGTGAAATTAGTATAAGTGGCTGTAATTCTGCAGAAGTTTGCAGGGATGTTCTTAATAATGTATAGATCATTATAATATTATGTTTTCTTACTTGTCAAAATATGTACCATATTTTAACTTTAATGGTTCCCAATTTTTATACTTCATTTGAATTATAAAAAAGTAGTAAGGGCAATATTATTTAATCAGTAATTCATTGATCATATGCATTAATAATTACAAGCACATAATAAACATCTTTGATGAGAATACATCAATGTTTTTTTCTACCTGGAAAATTTTAGTTCCTGTTAGTTTTACTAACTTCAAAAAAGTATTAGAACTTTATGAAAACAACAATTACTTGTAAATCTAAACATATGCTGAAATATGTGTTCATGTCTCTATAATTTTTCCACAAAGGAAACAAACCATGAGAAAATTGCATATGTTACATTTCAAATGTGTATGTAAGGTTGTTAGCAAATTACTGAAACAAAAGGTATCACTGATACCTGTTTCCAGAAAATATCTGAAGAAAGCACTGCTTCAGGCACTCACAAGTATGGATTTTAGAAACGTTTAACTGTTATGGATTATTTGTGTATGATTTAGATCTAAAATGTCCCATAAAAGACTAGTGTGTTAGAAAGGTGACTGAAGTATTTACTCGTAAGTAGATTCATTCATTGATGAGTTGAGAAGCAGAATGTTCTGCTAGGAAGTGGGGCCTGGTTTGAAGGAATTAATTGGGGAGTGACTTGGAAGGATAAATTCTTCTCCCTGGCTGCTCCTCTTTCTTTCTGCTTCCTGCAGACCAGATGGGCAGCTGTCCTCTGCCAGTCCCTCCCACTGTGCTGTTTAGGTTTTGAATCCAATTAATTTTGGACTGAACACACCGGCAACTCTAAGCCACATAAACCTGTCATTCTTGAAGTTATGGGTGTCAGGATTTTATCTCAACAATAGGAAAGTGACTAGCACAATCTATTTTTATTCATTATAACAGAAAACTAATTTGTAATTATCAAAGTTAGAAAGTGAATTAAATCAGATACTACTGAATATATTATCTCTTTACATTCTTTTACCAAGTTATTTCTAAGTCTGTCCTTTCTTTCTTAATCTCATTTTACACCTACTCACTGGTTTCCTTCTGGCTTCAATCACTATCTACATTTTGATAACTCACAGTTTTTACCTCAAATCAGATTATTCTTCTGTGTTCTGTGACTGTTTAACAGTCTTCCATATGTATCTTATTAGAAGGGATGTAAGTACTTTGATTTGAGCTTGTCTAAAATTTAGCTCAATATCTCTACCTGCTTTTCTTCAGTCTATATTCACATATCTACAATCCTTTTACATGGAACTATCTGCTTAAGGAAAATTGCAAGTCATGGAACTTTCTTCGTGCAAGTCAAATTCTAAGACATCTTTCACGAAGATATCCATCTCAAGTGGGCATAGCGAAAAAAAAAAACTCTAAGTACTGTCACTGGTGCCTTTATCATTACTTAGTCTAGACCAGTGGGAGTGAACCTATGGCACATGTGTCGTAGCAGCCATCTTATCATAAAAAGCTCTAAAAGGTTTACCACCACTGGAAAGCTCTTCTCCCTCAGCAACTACTTCCCTAGAATCTTAACTGTTCTCAGGCCTGGAATTTTGCCTTGAATTCCATCCAAGTCATTTTATTCATAAAAATAAAAATATCATTTTCAAATATGTATTAGACCATGTCACTGCCTTCATTACAACCATTCAGTGATTTCCCTCTGGATAAATTCCAAATTCCTTAAGAAACATCAAAGCCATGTTTCCTGCCTAGCTTCTTTTCCTACTAGGTCTTGATTAAGATACACTAGTTATATAGTTATATTTGTCTAATTATATGACTACGCAAATTGTACTTACTCAAAGCTTCTAGAAGTAATGAAATTATTCTAGTTTCTGGCTTTGACCTCTGGCCATTGCACAAGCTGTTCACTCTTCCTGAGAAGCTTTCACTATACGTTTTCCTGCCTAATTGCCATTCATATTTAAAGATGGTATTTTCTTCCTGGCAGGCATCTTTAACACTCTCTCTTACTTTAAATAGTTTAGGTGTACTTTTCTTTTTGTACATTTTTGTTGTACTTTCCTTAAAATAAACTCAGTGATTTCTCTATCTCAATTTATCTGTCTGTACCTTTAGACTATTGCTATTATTAATATTATTATTATTATTATTATTTTGAAGGCCACAGAATTGCTTTTCTTGCTAACTAGGAATCAATGGCATCTAGAATTCTAGAAAGCATAAATTTGGTAATCAGTAACTGTTAAATGAACATTTTATAGTAGAACCAGATTATATAAAATTATTTTTGAATAATATTTTATCCATAATTATTGATACAGAAAGAATACTTCCATTAGATGTTAAGCAAAGTACTTACAAAGCTCATGAGATAATTTTTAAACTTATCAGTGTTGAATGAACATCGGTATATCCCCTCATGAAAGAAAAAGTGCCACTAGAAGTCAGAATATTCAACTTTTATAAAAAGAAAATGCCACAGGCTTGGATTTTTTAGTACATGGATCTCTCTTCAAAAGCAACATGGGAAAATTCCACTTACATTATTCTGGAGGAAGTGTAATTATGTATATATACCATATATTTACTATTGAAAGTATAATTAATGAATATTTATAATTTCTCATTATCTGATCTGGAATATATAAACTCTACTTCCATTTCTCAATAGGACAACAGAAAGTACCTAGATCCTCTATATCTATATTCTTTTTAATCTCTATACCCATTCATTTCAGAGTTACAAACTTAATCTTCCATTAACTATAAAAGGAACTATATAAAATAAAAAACATTATATCTTGTAGATCATAATAAATGGATGAATTGTTCAGTAACAAAATATGTGGCAAGTTTTATCCAATATCACAAGTTTGGAAACATTTGAGCTTTCTCATGACTCTCTTGAATAATTTAAATAATATTTAAAAACTATTACTTTCCCATTTTGTTTTCGTTGATTTGCCTACCATCTAATTCAAAGTTATGTTTCATTTTTAACTCCAGTGGCTTCCTGTACATTGCATTTTCTCTTAAATGTAAACTATATACATATATTTTGGTACAACTAATTGCAAAGATTGTAAAAGCTCAGGAAGAAAGAATGAGATAAATAAATGAGATAAATGTAATTTATTGAGAACTCAATACCTAACCACATAATTTATTAAGTTAATCAATATTTAAGCATGTGTAATGTGTAATTTCCAAACTTTCAATAATTTTTGAAATGAATAAAATAATCATTTTTACAGATGAAGAATCTGATATAGGAGCACAGCAATTAGAAAAGGTGTTCGATGACTCAGGGCCATTAACAGGGGCCCAACCAAAATGGGACTGCATATTTACATCATTCCATCCAAGTTATGGGGGGAGATGGTGGAAAGTGTATGATAGAAACATCACTTGTCCATTCTCACTGCCCTTAACTATCAGCCATTCCTCAATGATTAGACGTTCTTTAGAGGCTTTGTTCAATAAGATTTAAAAAGATATAATTGGTTTCAAAATCTTCTTGTTAATAAGGCTTATGACAAATCATACATATGATGCTTCATATCAAATAATCTGAAAATTAGACATTATTATTAAATTGTTAGAAAAGAAATGACCTTTTTATGATTACAAGAAAAAGCTGAAATATATGGTACAATATAGTCACATGATTTGTTAATAAAAACTAAAACAATTACACTAAATAAACCAAAAGAAATTATCATTCTTTATTAATGATGAGTTTTTGTCAAAATCTGACAAGCATTGAATGTGCCAAGCTCAGAAAAATAATCTCACATTAAAAAATGACTATTGAACATGATTATGATACATTCTCTCTAGATATTCAAAAATAGATACTCTACTTTCTGTCCTTTATGCTGTAGAAATTTCATCTCTCAAAAACACAAAAATGGAATCATCCAAGATAGAAAATACTTTTGAAAGATACAATTATTTTGTACCTCTGTGCAATGCAGGTGCATTGAAAAATATTCTAAATTGAAAATGTTCCCTATGCACAATAGTAAAGAAGTATAATGTGAGAAAATTATGCTTTCAATTTCAAATGTCATATTGTTCTGGGATTGTAGCTCAGTTTGAATCAAAATCATAAAGAAAATTTGAATGAATGTACTTTCTGTTATCCATACGTAGTTTTCCATAATATTTGGAAGATGTAGATATCTTTGAAAAAACATCTCCAGAATAATAAACAGGACTCATAAAAGTGTTAAGCTTACCTACACTGAGATCATAGAATTATGTTTGAATTATAATATGTCAAATCAGTATGTACTCTTTTCACTCTACATTATTGTTGAAAAGTGTATTAAATTTTCCTTGAAAGTAGACAATAAATAAGCAAACTTTTTCTATAAATATCCAGATAATAGCTATCATACACTTTGGAAGGCAAACCACTTGTCACAGTTTCTCACCTCTGCCAACAAAGGAGACATAGGAAATATGTGACTATTGTGCAGGGCTGTGTTTGATAACATCTTACACAAACAATAGGTCCTGAATTTGGCCATGGTTTGCTAATCTCTCTACAGCTTTGAAGTTGTCAAAATGATTGTTTGACATATTGAGTCAAAAATTACATTTTCTTTAATTGGCCACATATATTCAGAGTTTTCACAAGTTGCAGTATTTTTAGAACATATAACTTAGGGAGTTACCAAAATACTAACTGTCGGAAATAGTGGTGACTTCCTCATTATGATACAACCAGCTGACAGCAGGTGCAGGTGAGCTACTGACTTTGCAAACCACTTCCGCATCCTCTCCTTGCTTGAATTCTTGAGGAGATACCACTTCTCTGAAAGTGAGTTTTTCTGTAGCCAGAAAGTAAAACAGTTCATAAGACAATTATTACTTTTCACAATAATACATTTTAGGAAAGGTGTTTATTATGCTATGGTAAAATAATTAGGTAAGCCTTGGTCTTTTAAAACCTTAAACCAAATAAAATAATTCCTCTCCTTATAAGTTCTTATCTCATTGAGAATAAACTCAAGAGTTACTACAGTGCCATAGTAGGTCCTATGTGAACTGGAGGCTACCCCACAACTAATCCATTTCTTCTCTGTCCTGGTCATTGTGCTTCAGGAACAACTGTTTTCCTCTTATTCCTTTGAATATTTCAGGTTTGTTCTTTCTCTGGGCAATTTTACTCCATAAAATTCATTCTGATTTCTGCCCAAACCCTTCCTAGGCAATAGCAATAAGTCTTCCTCATTCAACTTTTCTTATATTTCTACTCCCATTACTTTATTTTCCTTAAAATTTCATAGCATGTATATATACCATATTCTTTATTTTGTTTTTTCTTTTTTTACAATTGCAGTATTTCTTTTCTAGGACTTAGGTTGGCATTAAACAGACATCAATGAAAGGAACATGGATACTTGTACTTGATGAGAATTTTCCTGAAAGCAAAGCATTGTTGTGACCCTCAAGATTTACTTTTTTTATCTTCAGAAAAACAAACAAGGGATCTTCTTTTGTCCATTTATAATACTGAAAAATCTTTTAAGATACTGTGCCCTTAAACATTTTAATTTTTGTTATATGTGAAACAGGTACTGTAGCTGGTCACAAAAATAAGAAAAAAATGTCTTTTGGCAGGGAGTTCAAAAAGAGGATGCAAACTTTTTAAAAATAAGACCTATAACATATTAACAAATTCTTCATTAGCGAACCAGAAACCTTACTATGGGAATGACTTGACATTTTTCCCATATCTTATTTCTAGAATAATAAAATATACAGCTATAAAGAAGTGACAGTTTAGGATATCATATTCTAAAAATGTACATAATATTTACAGGTGTAAACATTAACTACACATATTGTCATAAGGCATCGTTGTGAATACTTCATGCAATTTTAGATCATGAAATCCTCAAACTCTATGTATGATGGAAGTTCTATTACATCCATTTATAGATAGGGACACAAATGACAGGGAGGTTAGGCAATTTGCTCAAAGTCACAAAAGTAATTTGTAGAGTTTGCTTTTAAGGATGTCATAATATTCACAGTGATTCTGTGAAAGCATTGTACAGTGATCCTGTGAAATCACCACTTCTTGATTTGTAAATATAAGAAAGAGAAAAGGATATGGAAAACAATCCATCTCAAGCATAAAATGAAGTGTAGATTTTGAGAATCTTTTTAATGAAAATACCCGGTGGTGAAGAATCTTGAGGAGATATTATTCTCTACCAGATTGATTTTTACCTTTGTTTCTCTATTCCTGTTCATTTTCTTTTCCCATAGATTTCATGCTATTGATATTAAAAATAGTAGTGATAGGACACATGTATGTCATTTGTTCCAATCATATTTTATTTTAAATTTAAAATTTACCCCAAGTATAGTTCATACTACCAAATAACAAATAATTTATTCAAAGGAGGCTTACTGTACTGAGAAAATTGTAACAATTTTGTTTATATCATTTAACCTATAGAATTAGCTACATTTATAGATTTATAACTCTTACCAAGTATATATTTTAAGATGTTCTGAGGTTTTACATGTCTTAGAACATTATGTATCACATAATTTGTTCTTGTGTGTCAGCTTATAATATTCAACATATTTTCTCTGAATTCTCTAAAACAAAGTACAATTAAACTAATAAATACTTGACTTACGGTAAATTTCCAAAACAACTGTAGCTTCTTGTGTTTGTCCTTTGGCATCTGTTGCTTGACAACGATATATCCCTGCATCTTCTATGTTTGCATTGTAGATGGTTAGTCGTGACCTGCCGACTTCCTTCTGCACCACTACCCTCTGTGTTGAAATAATCTTCTCTCCTTGAGGATTATACCAATCTATACTCTCAGGTTCACCAATTGCTGTACAGAGCCATGGAAGAGAAACATTTGGGCACACATTCAACTGTTTGTTTTGCCAGTGATATTTATTATCAAGTAAAATTTTAACAATTTAGAAAAAGTATAAATAGAAGACTGGAAATCTGAAAATCACTCACATTGCAAAGTAAACACAAATGTTAACACAAATGTTCATCTTTGATTACCCAACATTGAGTACTCAATCCTGTGCAAGTAAGCAAAATCCAAAATCCATAAGAAAGTTCCTATACAGCCTTTAAGTTTTGAGAGTCAAAATTTTACATCAATCATCTATGGATTATTACTATATTTAAGTATTAAAGCTGTGTCCCAGAATAAAAGCAGTTGACAGATATATTTGAACACAAATATGGATATTAATAAAACTTCCTATGTTAAATTCTCTTGCTAGAGTGAAAATTCAGCAATGTTTTCCTTAATAAAGAGCTTACAAAAATAAAAACCATAATTCTGAATTTTGAGTTAATTTCCCAAATTGTCCCCTTAAGAGAAGGCCAATGACTACTGTTAAAACCCTAATCTCTTTCCCCAACTGAAATGAATAGTTTTATCTTTTAATCTAAAATTGTTAACTACTGAATCATATGATAATTACAATATACTGAAATGATACTTATCTTGCTAGGCAATTACCATCAAATCATTATAATACAAACATAAAACTTTACAATTCAGAAACTAGGTTAGTAACTATTTTGTAAAAGCTACCGTTACATATATTTGCTTGTAGTTACAAATTGATGTATTTCATCTAATTATTTTTGAGATGATTTGTGTCAGCAGCCTATATTACTAACTCAAAAGCATTGGGGAAATGTACAAACTTAGGAAGATCTATGGGACCTCTTTTAAGAAAATTGTTCCTCCTGATTTGTTCTTATGAAATGGCTTTAGAAACAAATTATCTTTCTTTTTAAAAACAGATTGAACAAGTTAAAATATGAAAACGGTAGAATTTTAAATGGATCTTAGCTGTGCTATATCCAGTTCTAAACAGAAACATAAACCATAGTAGTTAAAATATAATGCATGTAGGCAGTATTTGTTTTATCTCTAGAAAAAGTGTAGAGGAACAGTGTAAATGAGCATCACATTAATTTTGTACTACAGATTTAATATGAATTCTAAGAAAAATGTTGGACATTTTATTTCCTAAAATATGGTAGAAAATTCATGGTGAATCTATTCTGTATTTTTATACAGCTATCATAACTTTCATTCTTTTAGAATTTCTGGTAAATAAAAATTTCTATCAAAACTTCTAGTGTTGGTAAGACTGAACAGTTACAGATTACTAATAAATATCATTAAATGTTTTTATTTTCTTGGGCATGTTATAAAAAATCACTTGTTACAAGTAATACATTTTTATTTAGATCACAGAGCACATTTACCTTCCAGTTTAAATCTAACACATGCTTATTTTATCAAGCTTTATACATATATATATATATATGTTTTTAATGGTTCTGGAAAATTTAGCGTCATATATACTTAGTCACGCTAAGAATAGAAAAAAAGTAAGCATTCTTATTTGCATAGCTTTCCATATCTTTATTTTTAGATTCCTGTTTTAGTAATACGATTAGTATGAATTATCTCTTGGTTATACATCCTTATGAAGAAGGAAACAATATTTATTTATTTGTTTTCCTATTAATAAATTCAAGAGCTAGAGAATAACTCAGTAGGTGAGTGCTTTCTTAAAATACACTAGACCCTAAGTATGAGTCCCCATACCTACACTCTAATCCCCAACCAAAACAAGGGAGGAAAAGAAGGAACTCATTGTGATTGAATGATGTTAATTAATACTTTTCCCTCAGGTCTTATTTTGATGATATTCAATACACAGAACTTACTGTAACTTATCATAGTGACATGGGAATATATAAAATAACAAACTTTTATTCTTTTGTTTTCAAAATTTATTGTAACTATTTTTTAATCTATTATCATGTGATATAATTGAGTGTATATGCATATAACTACTTCTGTGTAAATGTAATATAAATAACATTGACAGAACTATATTATCTCATTCCAAAGTTCTTCTGCTATAATATGTGATGTTGGACCAGTCTTTACTGTTTCATTTACAAATTTTGAGTATACAGTTTACAAATAAACTTATGAATTGAGACCTTTAGAAAGATAGATGAATGAAGAATCATAGGCGCTATTAATTTTTTCAAAATGTGATATTTTTCACACATGTACTCTGTATATACTTTATGAATATGTTATATAACTGTGTTTCTATTTTAATAAGTTTAATAACAATTTAAATAAGCATCATTCGCAAGATAACGTCTACCACACACTCCATTCAGTAAGATTTACCTCAAATCAGGTTTGAATTGCTTTAGTATAAACAAGAACAGAAACAATTCTAAAATGTCCTCATAAGCAATTTTAGCGCTGAGTAAATATATTTAATATAATAGATAATATTTAATATGAATGTATTTATATTTTGTGCTCTAGGTACAAAATTGGGTGTGCACAAAAATGAATTGGATGAGTCTAAATAGATGCAGAATGTTTTCACTTGTGAGTTTTATGATACTCTGAACAAGAATTTGATTTTCAAGTACTTAAATGTATTCTGAACGAAACCTTATTTTCATGATTAAACTAAGGGTCATACAATTTTCAATAGCTATCATGATACATTTGATTAATAGCACTTGGAAAAACTTTCTTCATTAAATAACTAATTTATGTGAATATTTACCTTTTTAAAGGCTGGATTTTTTGTCCTACGGTTTTCATTCAGATATAACTAAAATGCACTGTGCCATATCTAATTTATTCATTGCTTATTTATAAAGACAGTTCAGTTATAATTTTACATTTATCCTAATATTACTACTTAGGCAGAAATATATAAATTTATTTAAGATATTATTCATGCATTGTAAGTTATTCATAACATAATGCTATTTTATAATAAGCTAGTTTGACAGTCAAAATTAATAAATTGAAAATAAAAGAAATTATATTCACGGAGTTTAATAGATAAAACATGGCTATTAAGTATTTTTTTGATTATTATAAAAGCAATGATAAGTTATTTTTAAGAAACTGAGTTTTTCAGCTCTTAAATTGAACCAATATATTTTACCAAAAATTAAATACAAAACAATCTATCTGAAATTTTGAATACAATACATACCTGTACATGTGAAGAATTTAGATTCGCCCACACTAAGCTCTACTTTGCTAAGTGAAATTGTCACTTGAAGAAGAGCTGAAAAAAATTGAGTAACAATTAATCTGATCTTAAATATGAATTGCAATGAATGATGTGTAAACCACATGGTCAAAATGCAACACTTTCCTAAATTTTTATTACCCATAATCACAAATGGATGTTTTATGAAATATAATCCAATAGCATCATATATTGCATTATTAAACTGGGTAGAGCACTTATTTAAGCTAACTTCTAAATTTTGCTAGTCAAGCAAAGAACCTAATTCATATTCAGGAAGCTATTCCTTATTACAAGTATACGTATATTGGGCAATATCTGATGTAAAATATTTCACAAAAGATGAAACACTGGTGGAAAGAAAACTATATGCTGTAGTTATAATAGTTAAAATATATAAATTAGCCACATGTAGATTATTTAATAAAATATTTCCATGAAAGGAGGTATACACTGGAAAAAGGATTTATGCAAGAGAATAAGAATGAGTATAGCTATTCACAACATAAATGCATTAAATGAAGAAACCAGGATAAAGGTAATAGAAAGGAGGCAGATATTCAATACCATAAATGTTTGTTGTTGAATTAGAAATAAAGTAGCTGGATGATCTAGAACTTTAGAATACAGTGAAACTTTGGCTTCATGTAAATTGTCACACGTACTTAGACGATAGGACAAATGAGTGCATTCACTCCCTAAACTCTGACCCTCCATCTCTCTTTTTTTTTTTTTTTTCCAGAAATAAAGCGCTGAACTTTCAGTAACGAAGGTATCAGGGATAAATGGAAAAAAATCTGAAACCAGAGTCCAAGCCTACACTGGGGATTAGAAGGTTCAAATAATCAAAAGATTTATTTAGCTTAGAACAGGCTACAAAGAGTTAGTATCCAAGCATCAGCAGTACAATGCGGTGCTACCAGAATTAGATAACACTGGACTAGAGTAATACCCACCCAGAGTACACAGAGATAATACAATCAATCAGTTCCCTGACAGAGAAATGACTAAGAGAATTGCTTCCTCCTACCTGGGAAGTAGGAACATTTTTCCACTTATGTTAATCACAATTTCTGCCATATCCAGGTTTGGAATTTTTAACCATGAGCACATGTTCTCTGGAAACCCAAGAAGGCAGTCTCACATTCAGGGCTCACAGCCAAGTGGCAGAATTAAACATAAATCCCTTAAGGAACAACTACATTATTAAGGAAGGTGCCAATAATTTTATAAATGAAATTTTCTTTAATTTCAACTAAGATTCTGACATTACCAAACCAATGGTAAAATAAAGCACTGTGAGAGAAAAACAGCAGAAAAAGGCCACTTTGAAATTTCAAAAAATATATACATTTTAGAGACTTTACACTGGGAATGTAATGTAACCATGTATAATATATTTAAAGAAAGAATTATGAAAGTACAAACAGTTCAAAAAATAGAAGAAATTATTTAGAATGTTTTCATAATAATGAAATGGTGAAAGTTTGAGGAATATATTTAATTTCATTTCAACATTACACACTGTGTCCATGTATTTAAATATCACATGGTACTCCATAAAAACATACAATTTTGTTTTAAATATCCATTAACAGAGACTTAATTTTTTAAAATGTGAGAAAAGAACAAAATGTTTTGAAAAAGTGCTTGTCAAATATGTTGTTTAGCACTTTAAAATGATTTTTTTCAAACAATATTATAAAATAAATGTTTCCTCACAAGCCTCATCTTGCATTAGTAAGTTTCTTCATCGTTTTTGGAAACCTTTCTGGGATACTTAGGCTAGGCTACATGGCACTCTTCTCTCCTTTTTGCCTTGAGTCATATTTTTACTCATAATTCATCAATAATCAGAGGATGCTTGACCTATTTTAGCAGATCAAAGTGCTCAAGTAAATCTCATTTTTCAGAGAGAAATAAAAAGAAAAGTACATGCCAGAAAGTATAGGAAGAAAACTAATAGACACATAAGTAAGCGATATATTTAACTAGTGTGAATAATGCTGATTCTAATTACAATTCATAGGTAAGTTTTCCATCAAGGAAGTAGCTAATCTCTTTAGCGGTCTTAACTTATATGGAATGGGATGGAAGTGGTAAATTGCAGAACTCAAGAAATTCGATATTTCTCTTATAAGAATCAGAAGAGATGGATGGGATTGTGATATCCAAAAATTAAGGTGAAAAAGCAGGGACTTTAAAACCTGAAGACGTGGGCCTAACTATGAATACAACAGGTGGGAACCATAGGATAAAAGAAAAAAAAGTATAATGTTACTTTTCATTCTTTTATCATTCCTTCTTTTACTTTTTACTTTTAGGCATCATTTTATCCCATGCCATCAATTCCCTTTTATCTTTGAATCTTCATTCTGTACTTTCTCACAATCTAATTTTACAGTATCCAGTATGAACATAACTTTCAGTTCGGTAGTGCTTTTTAATTCTAAACTTTCCATAGTCAAACTAAACACATTCCAATTCCACAAAAATTTGTTCAAAGTTCATAATTTCTTTTTTGGTCAGTATTAATCAATATCCAAGACTTGGAAATATAACTTCTGAGATACCATTTGTATACATTTTTTTTCAAAAACAGGCACTCATTAATTTTAATCCAAATTATTTCATGAGCTTCCATATTATTTGATTTATTTTTTAAATTTCCTTTTACAATAATTATATGGTTATTGCATGGGAAAATTTTAAGACTATCTTTAAATTGTGCTCTCCAACAAAAAAATCTTCAAAGTAGATTTATTTTGGATAATATATCAATTACTGTACAAATTTTAATTGAAAGAAAACTTACCTTTTCAAATTTGTTTCAATTACACTTGTGGAAATTTTCTGCATAGACATTAAGATTGATTCTTACTCTCTTCCGGCTTACTCACACTTTTCTGTCGCTCTACCTTTATTCTCTCCAACATTTCCCTGAACTTTCTTCCTTTTTCACATTTCCACATGGCTGGGCATATCCTATCTTCAAAGCAAACCTAAAATGTCCATAACTTTACAAAATAGCTTCTGATTGCCCACTGTGTTGTATCAACATAAACATCTTTGATCAGTCAAGATTTGTTTTTACAAAAAAACAAAAACAAAACAGAAACATTCACGATAATTATACTCACTACTCTAACATATTTAAATATCAATTCTGGATGCCAGGGCTCATTAATCCCATTTTATTTCACAATTTATCCCACAATGCCACTGTTCATCCATCAAACACTTATTGGTGGCTTATTGCACGCGAGGTACAGAACATTGACAGTGACTACATTGTCTTAAATAGATATCAGGATATCACAAAATTTGAGAAATGTCTTCCAAGTATTATTTAAACAATTTGTATCGCTGACCTTTAGAACATGTGTGCCCAAGCCATTTTGTTGCCTGGACCACACAGAGGAAAGAGGAATCATTGTATTAAATGTTATGTAGTTTATGTATGTAAATAATGAAACTTCCTTTATTTTTATATTTTTAGTACAACAAAAAAAGAAGGCAACATAAACATAAAACAGGTGTGCTATATGACCTTGCTTTGTGAAATGGATGGATCAATGCCTGGCTCCATTGTCTTCTACACAGTTCATGCTAAGGGACCACATAAATGAGTCATTTAAAAAAATCACTAAAATCACATAATAAAGTTTCGAATTTTATGATCTGTAGAGCTGCATTTCTATCATCCAGGGCCACATGGGGTGTAAGGGTTGCTGCTCGGACACACCTGCTTTGAAGTAAACATGTCTCTCTAAGGAAGAATTATAGAAAAGAAAACTTCAAAGATGTAGAGAGTCTCATAATCAAATAACGTTCTGGATAATTTAATACTAATTTGTTGACAGGTATAATAAATAACATACATTCACCAAAATAAAATGAAGTTGAGTATGAAATTAGTTAATTTATATTAAAATACTTGATTAATATTTCATTCCATACAGATTATCAGTGCACCCGTTAATCAAGACTATGTTTTTAAGAGACTGGCTACATTGCTATAATTTGCTGCTATACATGTTTGAAAATATATTAAGAATGAACTCAATTTTCTATTTTATTTCCAAGTAGTCAGCTTTGCTCTAATTGACCTCTGTAGATATATTAAAGCATGTAGACCTTAGTTAAAACCTAAAGCACTGAAATGTGAGGGCATGTCCTGATCATTGCTCTAGCCATTTAACATCTGGACTTTCTTTGCTCAGTGTTGACTTGTATCTGCATCCAAATGAGTAAGTTTGGACCCAAATGTCAGAAGACAATTCTAATATCAAAAAGCCATGTTTAGAGAAAACTAGAAAGAGATACTACACTTGACATCTCTCTAGATTACATCTTCTTCATTTCTGGAATTACACTGTATGTTAGCCAGAAAAAGTAAAATTAGATACTGATATGTGGTTTTTATTTATAAAAAACAAGGTCTTCAGATTAATAATTGTTTAGGATTGAAAATTAAATCAGCTTGAAAATTAAATGGTATTCACTGATGCTAAAATATCTAATTTTGATGTTTCACTCTCCTTACATATGGATTTGGAATAGTGGTAACATCTTTAAAGAAAAGAGTGATAGTTGTGATATATAGATTCATTGCATCCTATAGCCACCAATGATTAATGATTAATCATAATGATTGCATTTATCACAAGTGTACCATATCAATAAGTCATTTTGTATTAGAGTTGGAGTTGAAGTCTCATTAATATCAGTAAATATCTTCACAAAATACTGTTATTTCAGGTAAGAAAAAGCTTTAATCTCAAAGCTTCAAAAAATGAAGCCATGATAACTACACTTACTCTATGAGTGATTCTCCTAGAAATGCATGGAATGACACTCTTAAGAGTAAGTGGCTATAATAGCTTATTTAAGGACACTTCTCGATGCTTTTGAATGCAAAAGTAATAAGCTAAAACAGATGTACATTGAGGCCTTACTCCTAAGTGAAATAAATAGGACACACATGTATAAATACCGAACAGTTTCTCTGGTGTGAGAAACTGAAAGTGGAAATA